GACACAAAAGTTACAGACCTAGAAGTGATTTCAACATTTGGTAATTATGTAAAAGTACTTCTGAGCAAAGAAGGTTTTTTTTCTATTTATGCCTCTAGCGTTCGCTTGCTCTGATACTGCCTTTTTGCACTGAAAAGCTCAGAAGTGTAAATATGTTGCAACTGTTAATAGCCCTTTAAACTTTGATCTCTGTCTTACCTCTGTGAATTTTTCCCCCTTCTCTTATTTCCATGTATTTCTACCAGTCTTATCACCATCTGTTTCTCTGCACTTTATTTATCTCATACTCTGGATATAATTAAGGAACTATGTACACAGTCCACACACTTGCATCTACCTGAATCTTTCTGAAAAACCTAAGAGCCTACATGTTCTTTGTTCTTAAAAAAAAAAAACACGTGATGGAAAATAGCAGCTGCCTCTTCCAAATGACTCCAATTCATCCCTTTAAAAAAACAGTCTCACATGGCTGAGAAAAGACCAACTTCCAACTGCGTATTAGAAACCAGAGAAATCAAAACCAGAATTAGCTTGGACCATCACCTCATTCTAAATAAGATAGATTCACACATGCATCTTCTTTCAGAGGCATCTTCTTTCAGAGTGTCTTTGTATCAGTCTTGATCAAAAGTGGAATCATGAAATATCAGTACTGTCTCAGATAACTGTCTCCATTGCTTTTGAGAACCACAATTCAGAGACTTACACAATTATCATCCCTTGTACTAGCCCCCACTGGGATTATATGACAAGTCCCCCCCCCAAAGAATAGGGCTCTGGATAAGTATTTGATGCTACAGTCTCCAGTTTTTTCAAGTGGTGCTACACAGAATTACATGGAAGCATATAAGGAATTAGTTCATAATGGTTTTTCAAAAGAAAAATAAACATAAATAAAAGACAGCTTGTTCACCTGCTCTAATATATCCTTTGCAGTAGGCAGTTATAGAAGAGGGTTGTTTGGAAACCCAGTGGTCACACATGAGTGACTAGTAAGAAACAAAAAAAGACAATACTAAAGCAGAAACAGGAGGAAGAGTTAGACTTCTGGCAATATTTCACTCAGCTCAATTACTTCTTTTGGATGCTCATACAATCTGCTGATCTCATTCATTTAGATATGTAATTTCAAGCAAGACCACCACAAAAATATTTCATGCATCCAGATCCAAACAATTTTTTGCCCCATTAAATAAAGGAGAGGAGGATCATTTTTACACATGACCTCTATATTTAGAGGTTGGGTTAACAAAGCAAAGGAGCAATCTGCACTGTCAAGACAACTGGTGTGATGTAGATGTTAAAAGTGTTGTTACGAGATCCAGGTTCAGGATCACCTTCAGTCATTAAAGCTCACTGGAGTGGTCTTGAATTAATTCCTCTCTCAAGTATTCCAGCCCAAATTACCTTACAGATTAGTTTTTTGGGCAAAATAATTGGGGAAGGGAGTGCTATGTACTTAAGATACTGGAAGAAAAGCTGAAGATAAATCTACCAAGTAAATAACAACTAAATACCTTAAAAACATTAGCTGTACCATAACATCTAGCAGTGTTTCTCAACCTTGACAATTTTAAGGCATGTGGACTTCAACTCCCAGAATTCCACAGCCAGCATTGCTGGCTGTGGAATTCTGGGAGTTGAAGTCCACATGCCTTAAAATTGTCAAGGTTGAGAAACACTTCTAGCCTAACATGTAACATAGTTATGGCTTTCAGATAAGAGTCATGGGTAACTTGTGAGGAATTTTGTTCTAATTTTCTGAAAATGGAAAAATGTGAAAGGGTGGTTGATGATTTCTGGATTTGACAATTGAAAAAAAAGATTGAATGAGGAGCTGAAAGTATTATTGTAATGTTAAGGAGGGACAAGGATAATGAGCTTGTCGTCGTCATCGTCATCGTCATCATCATCATCATCATCATCATCATCATCATCATCATCATCATCATCATCATTTTAGCCATTGTCTATCCACTGCAGGATGAAGGCCTCTTCTAAATGTTTCCAACCAATAGGGTCCTGAGCTTTCTCTTGCCAATTGGGCCCGCAAGTGGCTTCTTTAACTATCTTCTCTTTCTTTAACTCTGTTTTTCCTCTTTTCTTTCTTTCTTTTCTTTATATACTTCTGCATTTGTCTTTTAGCTATGTAAAAACTTTTAATAAACCTTGATTAAAAAAGAATTGTTCTCATTTTCTGTAGTCTTCAGTTAAAATTAAATTAAAAATAAAATTACATTTGTCCTTGTTACGGTGCCACTCATAAGAGAGCCCAAATACAGAGGGCTTCTCTTGCTCAAGAGGTTGACCAGTGGCTGGAAAGAATGGAGCACAAGTCAAAGAACCTTTTCCAAAATCCTCAGGGCAACTCTGCAGTAACCCCACAGCAGACATGCAGCAACAATGCCTCTCCATTTGGCCCTATGTGGAAAGTGTTCCCCTGAAGGCAGATTGTCTTTCTGTAGAAATAAATGTTGTAAAAGAATGGATATGCAGAGGTCTTGGCTTAAAACTGTTCTTTGAATTTTGGTCAAGCAGTGATGAAATCTGCCTTCATTTCAAGAAGATCATCTGCAAGATGATCTTCTCCAAATATATATATATGTGTTCTAACATGGAGCTTCATATGCTAATTTTGAAAAGTTTTTGATATTGTATTGTAACATATTACATATAAAAGTTACAGTTAAAATCCAATGGATTAAAACATATTTTTACTTTTCCAAAAAACTGCTGACACAAGGATTTTATATAAAAATTAAAAACCATGCAACAGCAGTTTGACCCTGCAAATGTTTGAACGCTTGCTCCTTAAAAAAAAAAAAGCCCCTTAACATAGCATCTACAGTGACTCAAGCAGTTAGAATTATTTTCATATGACTCAGGTTATTGCAGTATAAACAAGCCCTGTTTCCTTAGTGCTTTATCTGAGGGATTAAAGTTTCTTTTCTCTTTTAGAGATCTGAAAATACAACCACTATCTGTTGCGTACTCTTACCACAATTGCAACAAGTCATGTGGACTCTCAGCTGGCCAGATATAAAGCAGCTGAGTCACCAAGCAATTTGTTCTTATATGCCAGAAAACCCTAAAAATGTGAACGGTGCCTACTTGTAATATTTCAGATAGGGAATTAGGGTCCAGCGCTTCACAGGATATGAGAATGAATAGAAAGTTCTAAAACCGAGCATAACCAATTATAACTGACTTGTCTAAAGACAGCACAGCAACATAGAGTGCGTCCATCAAAAGAAGAGAGGGAGCTGTAAAGTTTAAAATGTTTGAAGTTTGGTTCAAGAGTTCACCCACAGTACCTGCCTCTCCAGAAGATGCCTCTTAGAAGCATTGCTATTAACTGTTTCCCCAGCAAAAAGAAAAAAAAATACTTGAAAGTATTCTCTTCTATGAAGAACAAATGAAGAGAGTATCCATATCAGAAAGAAGACTTTTTCAATAGATCCATACTGACATCTCACAATTAGTTCAGACAACTGTATAATGCATATTAAAGGAGAAAATGTGAGGCCACAAAATTAGACTTAACCAATGGATCTCCAATAAGAAATTGGTTCATATTCAGTCTCTGTAAGTATAGCACAATCCTCTGTCTAACCATACACAAGCTGACAAAGTTCACTCATACATACACATTTTTTTCTAGACAGAAGTAGATCCAGCATAGCAGATTTGCTTAGGAAGACCAAGGTTCACCTCCTGATTCAGCCACTGTCTCTTGACATAACTTATACAACAATGGGGATGTGAATACTATTGGATAAGCCCACACTTAGCACCATGCCCTCTACTCCTTGAATGCAATAAGGGCAAAGTCCAAATGAACACATACACACAAACACTCTTCAGGAGTCCACACCTCCACCAAGAAAGGGATTGTTGTTGGCTCCCTCATGCAGTTTTGCATACAAAAGGCACAGTTGATTCAAGCAATTACCAATTCTGCAATAGCTGGCCCTAACTAGTTCACAGCCTATTCTCCATCTGTCTTTTTCATCCAGTGTGCTGAAACTTATCACTATTCTTTCCTAGCTTACTGCCTATCAAACCAAATATGCATACTCTAGAGCAGAGGTGCCCAGGGACATTTCGTGGAGAGAGGTTTTTCCGTGTGGATCGGAGGGTGCGTGGTTTTGTGTGCTGCCTGCATCTCGCCGATGGTGCTTTGCTTGTTTGTGCGAACCAGTTGCTGGCATGGCATGGCATGGCCTGGTACTGGTCCACAGACGGGGTGGGGTGGGGTTGGGGACCCCTGTTCTAGAGTTTAGGTTAAACCCTAAAGTCCACATATTTTATTTTTGAGTCATTATTGACTCCTGATGATTGCCTGAACAAGTCCCTGCTGTTTTCTTTGCAAGAATTTTAAAAGTAATTTGCCATTGCCTGCTTCTTGGGGCAGACTGGCCCAAGGTCATCCAACTGTCTGTCTGTCTGTCTGCCCAAGGCAGGACTAGAACTCAGATTTCCTGGAATCCAGCCTGATGCCTTAACCATTACACCTAACTGGCTATCACATAATATGCCAAAAATTTAATGTGTGTGTGTGGGGGGGGAGGAAAGGTTCTCAACTAAGTCTAAACAGATTTAATGTCAGAGAAAGAACTTTCACACCACTTTTAGAATAACAGCACTTTGCTCATCCAGACACTAATAAAAGGCTAAAATTATAAACACTTCAGCGGAGAGATGTGACAGTCTGAACGTGACGATCAGGCAAGTGTGAATCAGCCACTTAATGTAAGCAAAATACCACCAAGTTTCCTAGCGTTCTCAAACATAATTAAAGTTCACGCAGCCAAGCATTAATCAACGATTGCACAGCAACCTAGTGCGTGGGTTGAAATCCTACCCAGGGCTCCGAGGAAAGAACCTCGGAGGTTGCAAAATCAGCAATTCACCCTGCACGTGAGAACCAGACAGCAAGGCTGTCCTTCCCCCCTTACCCCGTTTTCAATCACGGGAGAAGGCAGAGGGGGGTCACTTACTTTCTCCTTCTTGGTTAAAGAGACGCTGCCGCCACCGCCGCCCTCCCCTTGTTCGCTACACTTGTTGAGCTTTTTCTGTCCGGCTCCGCCAATTCCCGGCGGGCTCCAGGTGATGGGAACGCCGCTGCCGCCCTTACCACCTTCGCCGCTTTCGATTTTGATTAGCCGGTGCTTGGGGGAAATGTACTTGACCGACGCGGAGTCGGGCGGGGTGGCAGCCCGGCGTTCGCTGTGGCTGCGGAAGAGCTGAGGCGAAGCCGAGGCCGTCGAGGGGGTGGAGGAGGAGGAGGCGGCGGCGGCGGTGGCGGTGCTGCTCCCGCCGCTGCCTACTCCGCCGCCGCCGCCGCCGCCGCAGCAGGACGAGGACGAGAAGGGCTTGGGACCCGCCGACTCCACCAACAGCTCCTCCGGCGCGCAATACTCGGCGCGGCAGAGCGCCCTCAGTTTGCGCAGCGAGGAGCCCGGCCCGCTGTAAGGGTCTTCGAAGTCGCGCTCCTTTTGCGCGCGGTAGGCGCGAAGCAGGTCGCTGGTGTCGTGGCGGGGGAAGCACGGCGACGTGTGGTGGTGGTGGTGGTGATGGTGGTGGTTGTGGTTGTGATGCCCTCCGCCGCCCGCTCCCGCCGTGCCGTTCCGCTTGTCCCGATAGTCCGGCCGGGGCGGTTGCGGAGGGCTCTTGGTCTTGTTATTGCCCAGGCTAAAGTACTTGTTCAGCCATTTGGCCATGACGGCACCCTGCCTCCTAAAGCACGCCGCCCGCGCCCATGGAGAGACCGAGGAACCGGGCGCCACCGCTTCAGGGCTGCACGCCTTGGCGTCCCTCCGGCTCGGGCGGCTGTTCCTGCAGCTCCCGTCCCTCCATGGGACCCGCTTCTTCGGTTCAGCCGTCCGTTCCCGGCCCCGCTAGAAACTTTTGCCCGGCAGATGCCTACGCACCCTCCCAACGAGGATTGGGAAAGCCCCCCACCTCGCTCCGGGCTGGGCTGGGCTCGCCTCTTCTCTCGCCTCAAAGGCGCCGCTTTCCTGCCTTCCCTGAACTTTGCCGAGTTGCCCGCAGGACCTGACGCACACAGGGCTGGGGCTGCAGCGGCTCCTCCTCCTCCGCGCTTCGGCTCCTCCCCGGCGCCCTGCCTCGGCGGCCCTGCCCGGACGGCCGTACCCAGCGCCTGAAAAAGACTCCCCCCGTCCGCGGTCGCGGCTGCTGCCTCGCGCGTCCGCTCGCGCTGGTCTCAGCTCCTGCCCGCCCGCCCGCCGAAGGCAGCTGGGCCCTACGCTCGGCACGCACCGGTGGGGAGGGGCCTGCGCACCGAGATGCCCCCGCCCCTCTCCTCCGCGGTGAGAGCGAGGAGGGCGGGTGCGCTTTCCTCCTCCTGGCAGGCGGTCGGCTTCGTTGCCGTTGGAAAGCGAGGAATTTCCAGCTCCGGCAAGAGGACGCGACTCTCTGGTTGCGCTTGCGAGAGGCCCCCGGGACGATCGCCTCCCCGCCCGAGGGCCAATCTCTGGCGGCGAAGTTGGTTTGCGCGATTATCTTTTCCAGCCTTCGGTTGTCATTGTGTGCACGCGAAGGGCGGTCCTGCAGTTGGAGGAGCACCTGTAACAGGATCGGATTTTTAATCCAGGGGCTGATGAACCTGCTGGAATGTGGATGCCACAAACCCAGTCACAGACTAAAATGTTTTGCTCCGTATAGTTTTCGGTTTATTAACGAATAAGGCATCTGCCTAAACTACACTTTCAGGTTTTCAATCCAAGAATAATATTTTCCAGAACTGAACATGTTTGGGAATACTTTGCTCATGTTCAACCTTTCCTGTTTTGGGATCATAGTAACAGGTGCTGTTTTATTCCTTCACATTAATTCCTCCTCTTCTTTTCCGTCACCGAGAGTTGCTACTGCATGGTTGATTTCTGTGCTTGGCAGACAGAAATTAGCACACCTTGAAATTAGCAAGATGAGAACAACGCCTGCTAGGAAATAAAATTTGCACGACTGAACTGCTAATAAAAGCATACCTTTATTATATTTGTACACGTTATTTAGCCAGATGTACAAAAAATAGACTTTCAGGACCTTCAAATTGCTTAATTAAAGGAGGAATGAAGAGAGAATCTAAAAAGACAAATCGCTATTAAAGGCATTTAAATCCACATGGCCAAAATATCAACTTTTAGCTCCACTACTGCTTTAGGCCATTCAACCTTTCACTGATCTACCTCCAATCTGTAAAATGGGAATGCAGGCTAGTTATAGAAAAGATTGTGATGACCAGTGGTCTTCATAATGAAGTCTTACCTCCATTTTCTGTGCAGACAAAGGCTGTGCCAACCATTGAAGCAATTGCACAGCCTGAAATGCCAGGTGCCAAGGACTTCTGCCACAGCAGTGTGGAGCTCCTGCATGGAAAGATAGAGTGCAGTTTTGGAGAAAGTTTTTCTAAATTTTCTATACTATGTTTTTATTGCTAGTAAGCTATCTATAGCAAGTAGGCAGCCAAATAAATTGATTGAATGAATGAATGAATGAATGAATAGCAGGCTAGTGTGAATTTGTATGTTGCTAGGGGAGTTCCCACATTGAATAAAACAGGATGTTGATTTGGTTTTATTATTTATTAACTTTATATGCCACTCATCTCACTATCGAAGCAACTCTGGTTTTGGTTTCATGCAACATTTGAATGTGTGGTTGATAGATTAGTTTTTTTGTGTGCTATTTCTAGATTTATATTGTGCCTTTCATTCTGGAGATTAAGGCATGTATAGGACACTTTTTTTTCCCTCCACAACAACAACTTTATGAAGTAGGTTGGTCTGAGAAAGGGGGAAAATGGCCCAAAGTCACTCACTGAGCTTTGGTGGGTAACTTTTTACTCTAGAGCTTCTTCAGTAATCCATTATTAAAGCAAATTAGTGATAACAAAGGGAATCTAGAGATTCCACTAACTGCCTCATGCAGATGCAAGCTGTAAGTGAAAGAGATAAAGAAATGTGCTGCACCAGCATGAGATTTTAGCACTTTAAATCTTATCAAAAATTGGCAGCCAGCAAAATGTTCTACAATGAAGGTAGCTGTTTTATACGAAGGTAGAGTTCTGTCCATTTAGCCCATCGATTTCTGTTTAAAATTAGCACGGCAGAAGAGAAATCAGCAAACAACAAAACCTGCTGCACATCTACTTATTACTCAATAGCATTTGTAAAGCAGGAAGGAACAGGAAATATGTAAATGCATAATTGACACCTGCCCACTTCTCTGTGATCCTGTTTGTAGCTCCCTATACTTAACCAGAGACTTTTTTATGTTCAGCAGAAAAACTGGAATGCATCTCGTGTGCGTGGCTAATCAGTTCTCAAAATGACACTTTTGATACACAGCAGTTTACAGGGTTTCAATCAGTTATATTTTCATATCTGCATATTTCTAATAGATGCTTGTTCCTCTGTTATTCAGGTTCACATGTACTGTTTTAACTATCTTATCTCAAATGCAGTATGCTATAGCTTATCCAATAATATGGTTTGCTTTTTAGAGTTCAGGTTCTTTGGATTGGCTGTGCCTCTTTGCCTGCTTATCATTCCTGGGATTTCTCAGGTCTGAAAATTAATCTAGTTTTGATGGACTAAATCTATTGCCACTGAGAATATATTCTTTAATTGTCTGCCAGGACTCCATTAGTTTTTATGAAACAGAAATGAAAAGCCAGAAGGAATACAGATTGAAAGTCAAAATGAAAGCAGCACAGAGACAAAACGGTGAACAACTACACTAGTGTACAAAGCAGATGTAGGAATACGTGATAGTCTGGGGAAATGAAAGGTGCCAGATTGTTTTATTGGGGTGATATAAAATAGGAGACTCTTGAGCCCTTCTAAAAAAAGGGAACATGAATTTGAATTATGTATGCCAACTCCACAATTAACCCGCACATATGCAAAACACAAGTTGCTCATAAACTCGATATTTACCCTGGAAAGATAAATGAATTCCCTCTGAGTAGAATATGCATTGGTGTTGTCAGAATGCTGAATTGGTGGCAGTCAAGATCAGAGTATATTAATGGGCATATTTGGTGAATGCTTGCATCAAGTGTCATTTCCACTAAACATTGGAGCTGAGTTCTAATTACAAAGATAAATATAAAAAAATAAGCACTGTTGGATTAGACCATGAAATTTAAATTCCACCACCACCAATTTGTGGAAGAATTGAGTCAAGAAAATGATGCAACTCTATGGTCAAAACTAGTTCAAAGATACTTTATGAGTGACATTCATATATGGCTAAACTGAGCCACATTGTGGCTATATTCACCCATAGTACTATGCCACACTATGATGTTTTTGATTTTGCTTTTTTAGAAGGGCCAAGCCATTATGACTAACTTAGCAATTTATCTTTAAACAGACTGATTTGCATAATGTGCTAGCCCAATTACTGAGCTTTGCTACCCCAATCAAAGGTAACCAACAATATGGAGCAGAAATAGGGAGATCTATGTACTTCAGTCACATCACAACATAACTCTTCTAAATGTTACAAGATAGCATTTAATTGTGAAAGATATGCTATTTTTGACAGCCATGCTGCTATGTTACTAATGATGTAGAAAGTTAGGATAATTACTACTACTACTACTACTACTACTACTACTACTACTACTAATAATAATAATAATAATAATAATAATGTTGGAAGGGACCTTGGAGGTCATCGAGTCCAACCCCCTGCTCAGGCAGGAACCCTACACCCCCTGCTCAGGCAGGAACCCTACACCAAATTCTCAGAGGGGCTGCCACAAAGAAGAGGGGGTCAACTTATTTTTCAAAGCACCAGAAGGCAAGACAACATATAGTAATAGTAATACAGATGGAAACTAAACAAGGAGAGAAGCAACCTGTAATTAAGGAGAAACTTCCTGACAGTGAGAACAATAAACCAGTGGAACTGCTTGCCTTCAGAAGTTGTGGATGCTCCATCACTGGAGACTTTTAAGAAGAGACTGGACAGTCATTTGTCTGAAATGTTATAGGGTCTCCTGCTTGAGTAGAGGATTGAACTAGAAGACTTCCAAGGTCCCTTCCAACTATCAATCAATCAATCAATCAATTTATTATTGCAGCCAAAGGCCAACACATAAATTAAACATTCAAATAAAACAAAACTAAATAGAACCAACACAAGAAGACATAGCAATATATTACCATTAATGATGTAATCAATGGGTGACCAAGGTCTGCCTAGTTTTACAGACAGTATAACAAAAACTAGCTACCTTCAGAAAAACTGAATCATACTGACCTGACAATAAAAATACATTGAGTATAGTCTAGTGCTGGATAAAAACATGTAATAAAATTAATTATAAAAGATTATTAAAAAGATCTAAAATGTTTATGTTTCTGGCGAATCCCCAATGCTGCTGTACAGAATCTAGCCACCTGCGCCGTGATCACTGCCTGCTCATCCTTAAGCAGCCACTTGAGATAAATACTTTCCAAACGACCAGGATACCTATCAATTATGGGGAGGATATGGTTTTTCCGAATAGCTCTAAAGAAGGAACATCGAAGGAATATGTGTCCAATGGCCTCCACCTCTCCTGAGCCACAGGAGCAGAGTCTTTCAGCCAATGGTGTCTTTTTATACTTGCTGTACAGGATGGCTGATGGAAACACCTGGCACCGTGCAAGTGAGAATGCTTTCTGGGGGTTTACTGACTCCAACT